AAGCCACTGAATCAGCAAGATATTTGAGTATGTGCCTAATTTGGTACATGTAACACTGAGAAGATCCACTGAAGATGCTTAAAGTCAGGCACATGCTTAAATAACTGGCTGAATTAAGGCCTTTTCAGGTAAATTATTTTCACATGTTTAACCAGTATACAGTTTTCCTATGACAGTATTTGCTTGTTCTATTATTAGACATGCATTTTGAAATTGAAATTACTATTGTAATTTAAAACTAAGTAAACTAGATCATGGATCACCTTTTTGGAAGTGTTCATATTGCCAGGTAGCATATAAATAAACCTAACATTATTATTTGCATTCAGTTGCCTAGAGCTGGAGTTGCCTAGGCATTATAAATTATTTACAGTTGTACAACATACATGATGGAGATAATTTCTGAGCTTTGTTTACAGTGGCGCTTTTCCGGGTTATCTGGATTTTCTTTGGCCATGTCTACACATGCATATTAATGTGCAGCAATAAACTCTGGCACCAATCACTATGGAGTTTATAGTTCTTGGGTGCCGTGTTTACACATGCGTCCAGAACCACAACACATTGACCCAGGTCAGAGCAGCTTTGTCTGGCAGAGGGTCTGGGGTGGTCAACCTGCCAGTCCTGCTCAGACCCAGCTCAACATGATGTGGAGGGGCTGGCTGGGGTACAAGAGTATGGCTTCAGTGCAGGGCTAGCTGGCAGGCAGCTCCCGCACTGAAGCATCCTCATGCCCCAGCCAGCTGGGTCCGTGTCTACACGTGCATTGCTGTACATGAAAAAACTCTGCAGCAGGATAGTACCTATATTTACAAGTACTAATCTGTTGCAGAGTTTATTAGTTTCCTGCAGCCTAATAGGGCCACAAGTGTATATGCTGAGATGTTTACTGCGGAGCTAATTACACAAGACCTTTACTGTGGAGATGCCTAGACACCCTCTTTGGCCTTTATTAGGCATTTCCTTATCTTTCTTTAGCGAATATGCTTGGCTTGACCTACATTTTGTGATTTTTTTTTCCATGAGGTCTTTGATTTTGATGAAATCTTTGGAGCTTTTGATGAGAGGCTGAACAGAGAAGTCTTTGGGAAGCAGAGGCAAAAGCTCTCATGATTTGAATTACTTTTAAAAAGAATCTATATAGTCTGTTTTTTTTGTGCTTGTGTCTGTAATTTTTATGCTAGCTAATGACTGGGCAGTCTCTGCTATTATTTTCTGAGGGGGCAACAGCTCCTGGAGGAATTTTTTGTGGCTTACCAAAGGTTCAACAGCTGTTTCATTTTACTCTGTTTTGTTTTTATATGTACGTCAGGCAAAATGCAAATGTTATTTCAAAACTTCCATTGAAATTGGTACAATCAGGATTTCACCCTTTCTATTTTATTCATTCCTAATCTGATCAGCTTCTCCCTAGTACTGCTGTGACCCCATCTTGTTTCTCCTCTGAATTTCTATAATTTCTTCTTGCTTTCCCATTGTCTCACCATATTCTTATGCCATCTTCCCCTGCTTTTCATCCTCCCCACTTCTGATCATGTGACCTTTCGCTCATACCTCTTTCCACCACTTCCCCACCTGCTTGTCCCACTTCTCTTCTTGCTCTCATAAATCTTTTGTTCATCTATGCTTCTCTTTCTTCTCCCTTCATTTTGTAGTTGTGGCCTACAGACTTTATAGAGGAAGTTGACTCTTTCTCAATCCCTTCTCTTTTCTGGGGGCCCACAGGAAGTCAGAGCAGACCCCCATATTGGCAGTATGACCGTGTAAGCCTGGGTTGAAGTGAATCAGCATTTCTCATTAGTAGCTTTCAGGTGCAAACTAATGTCATCCACTCTTAAAGGGTGGCCAGTGGTGGTATCTCATGCCACAGTGCAGCAGATTTCACCAGTCTAAATTTTTGAATTTGGCTTATGGCTCTTGACTCTGTTGCAGGTAAGTAACAGACTTTGCCTAGCTTCATCCTGGTAAGATATTAAGGCATACAAACTTGCGTGTACATTAAAGTGATTTAATATTATGTATGTTGCTAACTCAGGACTGTCCAACTTTTAAGCAGTTGGGGGCCTCACGCCCTGAAGCCAGTCCAGTGATTGCTGCATGCCACCCAGGCTGCACCAGCACAAGCCAACTGGCCCCCTGGATTGCATTGCATGTGGACACTTCCCTGCTGCATCTCATGCATGGGTGACTCCTAGTGCTAAGTGTATGTGGATGCCATGGCTTCACCCTCATCTTCCCAGCCCTGGGCTTCTTTGCTGTACCATGCCACATGGGTGCTCTGGGCCATAGGCTTCTTTAGCACTCTGGCATGCTGGGGCAGAGGCAGAGTGTGGAAGATGGAGGATAAAGAGGGAGCCTGGAGACTCCAGCTGCTGTTGGATGGGAGCCCAAGGGCCACAAATTAAGCCCTCCTGGGCTGCATGCAGTCTGTGGGTCACCAGTTGGACATTTCTGCACTAACTTATGCAAAGAATGTGTCTACTGTGCAGCTGTTTTTTATTTACCTGCTGCCTGGATGCCAGATTGTAAGCTCTCTGGGGCATGGAATAGCTTTGTGGTATATCTTGGTGCAATCATTGGTACAGGGATGTAACCCTGTGTGTTTAGGGTCTCTAGGCCTCAATAGAAATAATAATAATAATAATAATAATAATAATAAAAAATCTGTTCAAAATATAGGGTAGAGAAAAATCAGTTTTACAAATGAGAGAGTACAGTTAATTTGAAAATAATCCTTTACATTTTGCCTAATCTATTTAAATTTTTTAAATAAATAAGGAGACAGCAGATGGGGAGTGGAGTTGAGTAAAAAGACACAAGGGCAGCACATGTACAAAATTATCATTCAGGGATTTTTATGATGGAACAAGAACATTGTGCTTAACCTGCTGTTAATCATAAAACTGCAAAACCAGAATCAAATCTCTTTAAAAACCTTACAGTTGAACCCAAGAGGCTGTTAAATAGTGAAGAGGTCTTCAGACACAGGTACATATATAAATTAAGCATGAATTATACCTTAAGAGGTAGTAAAAAGCCTGTATAAAAAAAAACTCAACAAAACTGGAGCTCATGTTAGGAATGAAAGTGAAGACATGAGCTATCTGCATGAATATAAAGGGTGAGCTCTAGAGGTGTGTGAAGTGGGCCCTATTTGATTCGGATTCGGCTCAAATCGGGGACAGTGATTCAATTTATCAATTCAGATCACTGTCCCTGATTCAATTTGGCGGACTCCAGATCTGAAGATTCAATGCTGATTCAGAGAATCAGCGATTCGGACATGGGCACAGCTTAAGAAGTTTCTTCTACATACCTTGAGGTAGCAGGCATGACTTATGATCACTGTGATGTGGGGGCACATGGAGTGTCGCCCACAGGAGAGCCGGGAGGGCCCTCCACATGCTCAGCGGTGAACCCAGAAGTGGACCGGAAGTACTTCTGGTCCACTTCTGGGTCTGCCGGGGAGCGTGCTGAGCCCCTTCCCCCCCGCACTTCCCTGGCAATTGGCCGTAGGGGGACCCTGGGTGCCCCCCCGACCCAGGAGGCACCAGTCACTGCGCTGGGGGGAGCACGGGGGAGCCCCTGGCACGCTGTCTGGCAGACCCAGAAGTGGACTGGAAGTGCTTATGGTCCACTTCCAGGTCTGTTGCTGAGAGCTCTGGGGAGCCCCCTGCGCTCCTGTGGGACACTCCATTTGCCCCAGCATCGCAGCACTCACAAGCCCCTTTAGAAAAAACACTTAAAGCTCTCTCTCTATGTCTGAGTCTTTCTAAATCTCTATGAATTGATTTGGAGGGTTCTGATTCGATTCGGAGAGATTAAAGTGTCCTCTGATTCGATTTGGAATCAGGCCAAATCTCCACTGAATCGAATCAGGGACCAAAGCTCTACACAGCCCTAGTGAGCTCCCTTCTGACTCCAGAGATGATCCCTCCAATTCAGGGCTGAGACAGTGTGAAGTTGGTGTTGCTGCTGCCAAGCTGTTGTCGTATAAACAGTATGGCCATCCAACTGCAGCCAAAATATGTCTCATGGGACCAGATGAATCGGACACCACTATTGTAGAATGTACTGTAGTAGTAGACACTATTCGCATGAGCACTTGTTAAGGTGGGTTCTTTTCTGTGACCGTTTGGTTGAATTTATTTTTCATTAGTGTTAGCCTTTGCAACCCAGGTTTCTTTTTTCTTTGCTAATAGTAAAACCAAATTAAGAGACATTTCATGTTGGAATAGTATTATAATACATGGAAGACACCTGGGCTCATTAGTGTTGAAAGCAATTGAGGCTTCAAAAGGAAGAAAAAAGAAATGCAAAACCACAAGCATTGTCCTGTGTCAGAATTCCAAAGGCACATGTGAGAGATTCTAATTAATATTCAGCCTAATAAATAACAGCATTGCACAGCATTTAATAGGCATAGAATTTGGAACAGTCACCCACTTAGATTTGGGCACAGGGTGTGTTAGAGAGAGAAGGAGAGAGAACAATGTGTTTTTGAAGAATCGTTAGGACAGTGTTATGTGTAAAATCTACTTTAAAAACACAAATGATCTTGTAATGTAGAGCTTGAATTAATAGTAAGAGGGGAAAAGGAGAGTACCTCTTTAAACACTTCATTTTCAGAATAGCAATGTTCTCCTGCAGGGCTCAGCCTCCTGCTTTGAATTCAGGGCCACAACTAGCATTAACTTGAAGGATTGATTTTTTTTTTTTTTTTTTTTATTGGTTGGATGGCTGTGTTACTTGAAGCAGCCTGAGCTTCTGAGAGATGAGGCAACAGGCGAAACATGCTTGAGAACAAATTAGGATTTTTTGGTTGTAGGATTCTGTTGCTCACATGGACATGGTGTGGCACCAAAAATAATGGTGTCTGAAATACAGAGGCATAACCCAGAGATTTTCTTGATATATCCAGCACTTTTTCTTGTTGCTTTGGTGTACATTGGTGTCTTGTTTGCAAAAGACATTTTGGAACCATTTTTTTGCTTAAACAGGGAGAAGATTCAGTTTATTCGAACAGAAGGAACCCCAGGGCTGGTGCGTCTATCCAGTGATGCAGACCTTGTCATGTTACTGAGGTAGGTAGCATTGCTTCCTTACAAATGTGTGGAATGTGCTGTGAAGTGCCTTTTGATGTATTGTGTGTACCCGTTTACTTACCTTAGTGTGTTTCCAGTTCTTCAAGTTGCAGCTGGGGGAGCTGCAGCAGAATATTAACACTGGCTTTACGTAGTGTTGAGTTTCTGGATGTTAGTTATTGGCATGAAGGTCACATCTGTCAGAATGGGGAAAAAAG